TCTTCCCAAAACGCAAAATCATCACCGCGAGCCCGAGAAAGAAGTCCCCGGTAACACAGAACCCTCCGTGACTGCCCCCTCCTGCAGCCCGGGCTCCGGGCTCCTCCCTCCCGTCCAGGCTCACAGCCCAGGGCAGCTCCCCGGGGCCAGTTACTCCACAGCCTGGCCTCTGCCCACTGTCCGGCCTGACACCATCTCTGCCACGTTCACCTCGTTGGCACCAGCCTCTTCCCCCCTCCAGCTGGTCTGGGACCCTTCCTTGGCCGTCGGCCCCACCCTCTGGGGCAGGACTGGTTTACTAAGTGTCCGTGCGGCCGGCCTGCTGGGCTCGGAGCACCCGTGACCGCAGGCTGCTGATGCGAGGGGTCACTGAGCTGCTGACTGCTCCCAGGAACGAAGCTCCCCTGCAGAGACACCTTGAGGCACACAGCTCCATCACTCCCAGCACACCCATCGCCACGCCGACCACGGCAGGCGCAGGCCGCTCCGGAGGCGGAAGCCTGCCTCGGGCCGAGTGGGAAACGAAGGGCCTGTGCGGAGGGGCGGTGGCACAGCGCCGGGACCACCGCCTCCGGGACCAGAGGCAGCGCGCAGCCGCTCCGGAGTGAGGACGCACCTCCTGCACGTTTCTAACTAACCCCCTCCTCCTGCCTGTTAGCGCAGATGAAGCTAATGAGGACCACTCCACAGACCGTGGGAAGCGGGAGCCAACGGGGGAGCAAGGGCAGGTTCAGGCAAAGCGCTGTCCCAGCCTCCATGGGGGGGGGGGGGGCAGGAGGGAGGACTCCACCAGCCAGGGCCCTCCGGGGGAAGCTCCCAGCCTCGGCCTCCCCGTGTCCTCCCTCCTCCCCGCCAGGTGACCTACATGCTGTGGGCACCTGAGCGGAGGCACGCCTCAGGCTCTCACTGCAGAAGCACCTGACCTCGATGCAGGAGCCAGAAGGAACCCACCTGGCGAGGCCTGATGAACACCCGCCGCTCAGAGAGCCTGCGCATCGTCCTAACCAGCCCGCAGGAGCCTCCTCACCCACACTCTGCCCTAAACACGGGTTGCCGAAACCGTTTTGGCTCAGAGGATAGAGCATCAGCCTGTGAACTGAAGGGTCCGGGTTCGATTCCAGTCAAAGGCATGTACCTTGATTGTGGGCACATCCTCGGTGAGGGGTGCGCGGGAGGCAGTTGATTGATGTTTCTAACTCTTTCCCCCTCACCCTTCCTCTCTGTAAAAAATCAGTGAAGTATATTAAAAAAAGAAGAAGAAGAAGAAAGAAAAGAACACAGGTGTTTGGCCAGAAGAGAGCTTCGATCTTTAGGACACAGATTAAGTGAAGGTAATAAGTGACTTACAGCTGGTCAAATCTGACCCAAACCCCGTCAGGACACACAGATGAGAACCACCACCGCGGGCTCTGACAAAGACCAGAGGGCTCATGGCAGCTCCGCCAGGAAGAGACCGCCAGGCCGCCAGGCGCACAGGCAGAGCCTCTGAGCACAGCTGGTCATCGCCGCTTTCACCAGGTGCCGTGTGTGCCCATCGATGGCTCTTTTTAAAGCTTTAAGTGCTAGTCCTCGGCAATGCCACGCTCGCAGTGAGGGAGCATGCAGCCAGCAGTGCTCCCAGCAGCCCTTTCCAGCATGCTGGAAAGCAACGCGCATCGAGGACGTGTACCCTCTGATGCCACCCTGCATATCTCCCCAACGCCCACAAGACACAGAATGACGGGAACCCCGTGTTCCAGACTTCCTGAGAAAGCCCTGACTCCACAGAGCTGTGTTCTTGTCCATAAAGCGAGTCCCTAAGTGTCTGAGCAAAAGGAGAACCGGAAGTCACCAGCCTCAGAGAAGCAGGCAGTGCGCCCGGCCGGGTCAGAGCCACAGAAAAGCCTGTTCGCCTGGAGCGAAGCTCTGAAGGTGGCCGGGATCTCTGGTGTCAGCTCTGCCCACACCTCCTCTCTCTGTTCCTCCTCGCTCTGCCAGGCCCAGCCGCCCGCTGCTCTAACGCAGACAGGAACCGCAGCCTCGCCACCTGCAGCGCCGGAAGGCGCCCGGCCGGGCCTCCTCGCCACCCCAGGAAGCGTGTCTCCACAGCCAGCTCTCCTCGCGGTGCCAACGGGCCCGGCTGAAGCTAATAAAACTCGGGGGGGGGGGGGGGGGAGACAGCCACGCTGGGGAAGTCAAGGCCTTGACCGCTCTGCCAGTGGCCTGAAGAACCATGCACACCACTGATTCCTGTTCACGCCTACAACACAGCCAGGCCACCTGCCTCTGGACGTCACACTGAGTGGCCTGCCAGCCTCTCCCGCACAACCGGTCTGAGAGCTCGGGCACACACGGGCCACCTCAGGAGCAGCGCATCCGGGGTGGGGAGCTGTGAGACCCCAGGGAGGCGGAGGACCCCCCAGAAATGGGGGCGCGCTCACCGGGACTTGCCGGCTCGGAGCAGCGGGGCTGCAGGCTAACCGCCCCCTCGGGAGTTTACCGGCGCCAGAGGAACCGGGTGCCGGGGCCTGGCCTCGGGCAGGGCACCCTCCAGAGCGGGCGCCTTTCCTTCTGTGAGCGGCGGCAGGAAGCACGGGCCTCTGAGGAGGCGGCAGAGAGCGAGGGGTGGAGACCCATCAGCCACAGCCACATCTTCTTAAAATGCCCCCCGAGCTTTAGGAAATCTAGAATTCCCTGTTTTTCAAACAAAAGCTTTGAAGGACTTGTTTAACCTTCCCCACCCCACCCCTTCCTACCAGAGTGCGTCACACTGTGTCACTGGGACCCCGCTCCTGTGCGGGAGCCCGAGTGCACAGCTCGCCACGCAGGGCACCACGTGGAAGGGCTTCCGAAGGGCGCGGGTCCACGCAGCCCAGACTTCCTGTTCGCTGCTGAAGTTTTCTTTAACCGACAGGCCCCTCCACCCCCTCAGCACACTGCGAGTGAGGTATGTCCTAAAGTTTGTACACCCAGTGGGAGCTAGGAATCCGGAACCTATTTCCCCCCAAAAAACGTGTTACAACCAGTGGCTGTGTCCCAGGTGCAAGGGCGTGTGGGGCGGGACAGTGGTGGGTTCGAGGCCCCGGCGGGCATTTCCCTGTGAAATGTGGGATCTGAGCAGCTGTCCTCTCTCAGAGGGAATTCTTGGGAACCCAGGAGGGAGATGGGCAGTTCTGGGAACTCGGGCCAACCTTAAGGAACTCAGAGCCTGCCTCTCCACACGCTCACCCACACGAGGTGCTTTCTGTGTGGCGCGCCCTGTGGCGGGCAGCCCTTCACGCACCCTGCCTGGTTCTTTCCAAACACAAAGCAGATGTGCAAAGAACAGCCTTTCCCCATCCTTGCGTGTGGTCAGTAGAACGGTGCCCAAAGCTGCCCAGGTCCGGACGCCCAGCACCTATGGCTATGTCCCCCTACCTGGCAGAAGGGAATGACACTGCGTGGCTCAGGCTGTGGCCCCGCACGCGGGGTTATCCACCAGAGAGAGCCGTCAGGGAGAGAGGAGGCCAGGCGACCTGCCGGCGACCTGCTGGCTTTGAAGGCGGGAGGGGGCCACCAGCCAAGGAACCCGGGCCGCCTCGGGGAGCTGCAACAGGAAGCGGACTAGCGCTGCCCCGGAACCTGCAGAAGGCACGCAGCCCTGCAGGCACCTCGATGTGAGCCCAGGAGACACACGGGGTCTCGCTAAGATCACGGGTGGACACGTACAGGTGTCCTGCGCCGCCACGTGTGTGCTGCTGCGACAGCCGCCAAGGAAACGCGTGCACCGCTCCGCTCGCCCTCCTAAGCACAGATTCACGCCAGGCCTGGTGGCAAGGCGGTCGCCGAGAAAGCAACCAAGCCAACCGCTTCCTGCCGGCCCGGAGGGAGGACTCAGGAGAGGGCGAGAACACTGGCCTGGGGAGATTAAACGGCAAGAGAAGGTGGAGAAAACAGACCGGAAAAAAACACACAACAACAACAGCAACCACACAAAAAACGGAACAGGGTTTCCACGGAGGGGAAGGAAGATCCTTTGGAACCAGCGGAGGGTCTTCTGTTCGGTCTCAGAGAAAGCACACGCGGCTGGGACCTGGACGCGGCTGGGACGCGGCTGGGACCTGGACGGTAACGAGGCCACCGGACGGCCCGCCACAGAGGCCAGGGCCTCCGGCCGCTCCTGGGGCTCCAGAGCTGCCTGGCGCCTGCCAGGGGCGCGGGTCAAGCTGCAGGTCTTAAACCCACCGCTTGGCAGGTCCCGTTTCTCAGCGACTTTCTGGCAAATCAGCAGAAAAGCTGCGTCTGTGCCTGAGCCGGGCGGGCTGCGGAGCCACAGAGCCGTCGGCTCACCTCGGTCTGCCACTCCCCCGCCAGTCCACACTGACCTACTCGCAGGCCACGGCAGCACCCGCCCGCCTGCGGCCGCCCGCCTGCCAAGCTGTCTGGGGGACACCCCTCGCCACCAGGCAGGACCGGAGCGGCGGAGGAACTCCTGAGTTTCCCTAAGTTTCCGCTGTCCGGGGCACACGCGACAAGGCACACGAGGGTCTCGGTCCCGCGCCCTCGGGCTTCCCAGGCCGGCGTTTTGGGGTCCGTGGCCGGCGGACCTGGCCCGCCATCCTTCACCGGGACCGGCGGGCCGGCCAGGGCCCAGTCCCGCCCCGGCGGCACCCGTCCCCGCCGGCGGGTGCAGCTTCTCCTCCCTCAGACAAAGACTCGCCGGCACACAACTCGGACCACCGGGGCCGGAAACCACGAGAGCGCAGCCGGGGCGCCCGCCGCTCCGGGGCACCGCCGGGCCGGCGCGGGGCGGCAGCGGCCGCCGCTCAGACCCCGCGACCCGGCCCCTCCGGCCCGGCGACCCCGGCGCCTCACAGGGACCCGGGCGCCGCCGCCTCCCCGACCCCCGCGACTCCCGCCCGGTCCGGCCCCGGAGCCGCGTCCGGCACCACCGTTCCCGGGAAGCGCGAGCCGCCAAGGCGCCGCCGGGTCCGGGGCCGGAGGAAGCGCGGAGGGGGGGCCGCTGGCCGGGCCGTACTGACCGTAGCTGTCGTCCTCCTCCATGGTGCCGGTGCCGGTGCCGGTGCCGGTGCCCGTGCCGGTGCCGACGCCGGGCTCCGCGCCCCGCTCGCTGCTCGCCCCTCGCGTCCGGCCGCCTTCGGCCCCGCTCGCCTCTGCCGGGCTCCCGGCCCCGCCCCCGGCCCGCGCCTCCCGCGGGGCGCCCCGCCCGCCGCCGCCCGCGCCCGCACCCCGGCACGCGGCCACCTCCCGGCCGGCGCCTGCGCACGCGCGCCCAGGCCCCGCCCCCTCCCGCGGCCCCGCCCTGCCGCGCCGCCGGCGCGCGCACTCCCTTCACCCCGGCGGCCCCGGCACGCGGCGGCCTCCTGGAGGGCGAGCTTGCGCACGCGCGTACGCCCAGGCTCCGCCCCCGGGCCCGAAGCCCCGCCCTTCAGTCCCCTCAGAAGCACGCTTCCCGGCCCGCGCCTGCGCCTGCCCGCCCGCCTGAGGCTCCGCCCTTCGGACACGCCCCCTGCGCCCGAGGCCCCGCCCCCTCCGCCCTCGCGGGCCCGGCAGGTTTCGGGTGTCGCAAGGCCCCCGCAGGATCTGGGGTGGCGCACCCACAGCCCGCAGCCCGGCCGCCCACAGAAGCCGGAGGTCCTGTCCGGCCGCTGAAGGGCTGGGGGTCCGCGCTGACGTCAGCCGTGCCGGCCAGTCCCGCCCTGGCTAGACCAGGGGGGCCGGGTCCTTGGCCCGAGGCCGCAGAGCGCTTGGGATCCATTTATTTCTGCCGCTGGAATCTTAGCACAAGGACCCGAGTCACAAGTTGTCTGCCTTCATACTTCCGGCTATTGTCTGAATTTGCCTTATTATCCAGCATTTCAGGACTTTAGTGGCCCTGACCCACGCACCTCTTCCTACATGTGTGTCTTCTTGCAGGGAGCTGCTGGGCAGGGAGAGGGGGGTCGCCCTGACCTTGGCCATGTCACAAGGCCGCTTGGCATTCCCCTCAGGGGGAGGTGGGACCCCCTTCGAAGCCTGTTTCTTATTGGCCAGCCCTAAAATGTGCCTCCCAGGACTTCTCCCTTGTTCTAGCCAGTGTTTCCCAAACTTTTGGCATATGTGTACCCCTTCTATAGTTTTCGTAACGCCGAGTACCCCTCGTACTCATGAGAACGTAGAATTAGGCGCAGCTAAGCACAGTGCAGTGCATATCCCCACCAAACTCCGGTGCAACTCATACCCCCCCCCAAACTCTTCCTCTACCCCTGGGGTACGCGTGCCACACTTTGGGAAACACTGTTCTAGACAACAAAGACGAGTCATTAACTCTCGTGTGAAAATTAAACGAATGAGGAATGAGCATTCATTCCGGATCTGATTAGCTCTCAAACCTCTCAACCCCCTGCACCCGTTTCCCACCCACAAAATGCAAACCTCTGCCTACAAGACGCCGGCTTCCACTCAACTGGTCTCCGCTGGGACAGATCCAACTGTCACCCCTCAGACTTCTCCGCAGCTCACAGCACTAGTATTTCAATTATGTGAGATGGCTTTTGACCTAGCAGCCTCAGGAACCCTACTCTACGACCTGACCCTACTCTACAGCTCTGGCCCAGCCTCTTTTTTTAATTTTTATTTTATTGATTTCGGAGAGGAAGGGAGAGGGAGAGAGAGAAACATCAATGATGAGAGAGAACCGTCGATCGGCTGCCTCTGCTTGCTCCACACTGGGGACCGAGCCCTCAACCTGGGCCTGTGCCCGGACAGGGAATCGGACTGTGACCTCCTGACTCATAAGTCAACACCCAACCACTGAGCCACGCAGGCCAGGCCTGCCCAGCCTTCCTAACCTCATGAACTGACTCACCGGCCTTTGGTGGACAACCTTGATGTTCCTGAAAGTCTAAAATGGTGTCTATTTCCCTTGGGCACAACCCCCTTCCGTCCCCATGCTGCTTTCATGTAATTCCAGAAATTATACGTTTGCCTTGTAGAGACTGTGAAGCTCCTAAAAGACTGATTCTGGTGTATTTGCAAGTTTGATCTTCAGTGATTTCATCAGATTTCGACATTAGAGCAGGGAATCGCTTCTATATATATATATTATTGATTTTTTACAGAGAGGAAGGGATAAGGATAGAGAGCTAGAAACAACGGTGAGAGAGAAACACCAACCAGCTGCCTCCCGCACCCCCCCCCCCACTGGGGATGTGCCCACAACCAATGTACATGCCCTTGACCGGAATCGAACCTGGGGCCCTTGAGTCCGAAGACCGACGCTCTATCCACTGAGCCAAACCTGTCTTGGCAGAAATCCCTTTTTGATGCAAGGTCCCTCAGGTGTGTGTGTGTGTGTGTGTGTGTGTGTGTGTTTAAATGTGTTTACTGATGTCAGAGAGAGAAAAGGAGAGGGAGAGAGAGAAACGTGGATAGGCTGCCTCCTGCATGCCCCTACTGGGAATCCAGCTTGCAACCTGGGCGTGTGCCTTGACCAGAGGACCTCCTGGTGCATGGGACAATGCTCAACCAACTGAGCCACCCGGCCCAGCTGTCCTTGCGTGTTTTTTGTTTTAACATTTTATTTTATTTCTTGTTAATCCTCACCCGACATATATATTTTAGAGTGGAAAGGAAGTGGATAGACAAAGAAAGAAAAACATCCATGTGACAGTCATGACTGGTTGCCTCCTGCATGTGCTCCACCCAACCAGGGATGGGGATCGAGCCTGCAATGGTAGTAGGTACATGCCCTTGACCGGAATTGAACCCAGGACCCTTCAGTCCACGGGCTGACACTCTGTCCACTGAGCCACCCTGGCCGGGCTGTTTCCCTCTCTCTGCCCCAGAGTCCCCGGAAGGTCCGCGGCATCTCCCGGGCGGCTCCCCCCGCCCCCACCGCTACCAGGACTCTTGCTCAATGACCAAAGCTCAGGATGAAAGAAACCATGGTAATTGTCACCCTCTTCACTCCCAACTTGTTACGTGACTCCCGGGCGGGCAGACTAGGACAGGAGGCATTCTGGGCGATGCTAATCACCTCCCTCCATTAGCAGGGAGCCCGCCTGGCTACACATTCCCTTAAGGACCGTCGTTCCATGTCAGCAGTGTTTCCCGCCTACGGGGCCCCGCTCCGCATGGCTGGGAGACCAATCACTGGAGGAAGAGGAGGCAGAACCCGGTCCTCTCTCGCCTGTCATTGGCGAAGGCCTGCGTGGCCAGGCAGGATGCACCGGGTCCCCTGGGTGGGGTTACTAGGCATCCTGCCTGTGGGGAGGGCAGGACTCTCATTCCTCACAATTTCCCCAAGGCAGCTTTGGAGACAGGCCCGGAGAGGTCACAGGTTAGAGCCCTTAGGAGTTAGGATCCGTGAGCTAGACCTCAAGGGCGGGGGAGGTGCCCCAGGCACCTGGAGGCCCCGGTGAGGATCAGGATCGGGAACTCACTGTAGCGGAGGCTTCTGACCCAGACACCCCTCCCGCACCCCCTCCCTTTTCTCGGACCCCACTGTGTCAGTTCTTCAGAGAACCTTGAAAGCAGGTGAGGTTCCCGAGGGCCTCTCCGCAGTCTGTTCAGAGGTCGATCCACCTAACAACTGCGTTTTTTTAAGTTGGCGCCTCCCTTGCTTGCGTAATCTCAAGAATTAGAATTGCGAAGGAAGTCTTTTTAAGCAACATCTATTTTTTCCTGTGCTTATTCTGCGGCAGGGTTTAAACCTTCTTCAGGCAACACCTCAGTCCTCAGCAGGGGGCAGGTCGCTGTATTCCCCTTTCTACAAGGGGGCACTTCCGGGCCGGTGTGCTCAGTGGTTGAGCATCGACCTATGAACTAGGAGGTCATGGTTAGATTCCTGGTCAGAGCACGAGCCCAGGTTGCAGGCTCACTCCCTGGTAGGAGGCATGCAAGAGGCAGCCCATCAATGGTTCTCTCTCCCCAGTGATGTTTCCCTCTCCCTTCCTCTCTGAAATAAATAAAAACGTTTTAAATAAGATGACGCATCCAGAGTGAGAAGGGCAAGGACACAGCAGTGGGGTAGAGTATTTCCACTTGCGATGAAACCCCGTGTGTGTGCAGGGTACGTCGGTGGGTGACAAAAAGGGGCTTCGATGGGAAATAACTCCCCAGCATGATCAGATCATAAATCCCGAACTGGGCAGGTCACGGTGGAGTCACGCCCCAGGCCTATGGCTTCTTTACTGACAGGTTTTAACAAGCCTGGCCTGCTCTGGCCAGTGGCACAGAGGGTAGACACTGGCCCGCGCACCATAGGGTCATGGGCCTGAGTCCCAGTCAAAGGCACATGCCCAGGATGCCAGCTTGACCCCCGGTCGAGGTGCATTTGTGAGGCAACCAATTGATGTTTCTTCCTCACATCAATGTTCCTCTCCCTCTCCCTTCCTCTCTCTGGACTCAATGGGGGAAAAATGAGGATTAAAAAATAACAAGATAAAGGATTCCTTTTGTTGCCTTTCTCCTCTCCCACAGGGTGAGGCAGGAGGCTCAGCTGAGGGTGTGTGAGAAAGGAAGGACGGCCCTCTCCCTCCCCCTCCCCCCCTCCCCTGCTCTCCTGCCCCATGAGCCTGTGTGCCCAGGGACAGGTGAGGGCGAGAAGGGCTGAGGGCAAACCATGGACTCCGTCCCCATGCCGCTGAGCCCTGGAGGCAGGAAACCCGATGTCCTCCGAGGCTCCCTTTAACGCAAGTCCAAGCCACTTCCTCAGGGGCCGCCGCTCCAAGACCAGGGGGGGGGGGGCGGCGTGGTGGCGAACGCTTCCCAGAGGAAGGCCTGAGCCCAGCCTCCAGCAACCTGGCTGTGACAGGGCAGGGCGCTCACCCTTCGGGAAGCCAGCCTCCAACCTCTCAGCCAGGGGGGTGGGTGACGCTCAGACTGACACACACTCATGCAGGGAGCACCCTGGCCTGACCCTGACCCGGGGGCGGTGACCGGGCAGGGGAAGGGAGGAGACCAGAGCGCTTCCGCCCGCAGGCCCGGCGGGGACTGGCTCCACCTTGGAAAGCCCCCGGTTTATTTTGTGCGAGCGAGCGGGCCATTTCCTCCCGAGCGAGCGGCGCTGGAGTCTGTGTATAATGGAGCTTGATTGTGGCCAGCTGCCTCAGCAGTTCCCGCCGCCCCAAGACAGCTGGCCGCCACGTGGGGAGAGCAGTGGGAAGTGGGGAGGGGCCGGGCAGGGGCATTTCGGAGGCAGTGACACTGATGCGGTTGGGGGCATTTTCCGGGCAGAGTCCCAATGCCTGGACTCCTGGTCCATCCTCCACAGACCAGGTGCCGGGGAGCGCTGGCCCGCAATGGCAGGGTCCTCACTGCGGCCGGAAAGCAGCAAAGACCTGCTTCCACTTCGCCACCGGAGCTGCAGGCACCCGCCCCTCCCCGACAGCTGCCTGCACGGAGGACTGTGGGCTCGGTCCCAGGAGCTGCTTCTCTCCCCGCTTTGTCTTTCTCTCTCTAAAAATCAGTGAACTATTAATATTTTTTACATGTTTTTATTGATTTCAGAGAAAGGGAGGATAGAAACATTGATGAGAATCGATTGGCTGCCTCCTGCACACCCCACACTAGGCATGTACCCTTGACCAGAACTGAACCCAGGACCTTTCAGTCCGCAGGCCAACACTCTATCCATCGAGTCAAGGGCTAAAAAATATATGTATTTTTTAAATCAAAGGAAGCCCTAACCGGTTTGGCTCAGTGGATAGAGCGTCAGCCTGCCAACTGAAGTGTCCGGTCAGGGGCATGTACCTTGGTTGCGGGCACATCCTCAGTGGGGGGTGGGCAGGAGGCAGCTGATCGATGTTTCTCCCTCATTGATGTTTCTAACTCTCTTCTTCTCTGTAAAAATATCAAAATCTATTTTTTAAAAAATCAAAGGAAAAGAAGTAAGACATAGGCAAGACTCAGAAAATCTCGTTAATTTATTGCACCAAGATCTTGGCAACACGGGGGTCCACAGTCCCTGGAGGGAAGTGCTGAGAACGGGCGCAGACCTCCACGCAGAGGCAGCAATGGCGGAGACGGGGCGGAGGCAGCCCCTCCACAGACCCCGGCCCCACGGCTCCGCTCTAAGCACATCAGCCCCGGCTGTGAGTGCGCGGAGCCACTGTTGTAAGAGCTCGTTGTTTACACACACGTACACACGTCATCTGGAACCACTCACTTCCTGGGCTGCCTGCCGGCCCAGTTTGGTGCATGGGGCTGGGGCTGGGGTGTCGTGGGAGGGAGGGCTCACTCTGACAGAGACAAATGCTCGGCCCCGCCCACGGTGACAGGTGACAGACAGCTCCTCTGGAGGCTCCAAGTGACCCAGGAGGAGGCTGGAGGGCGGGGAGGGAAGGGGATGAGTCTGTCAGACAGCAGCACCCCCTCCCCGCCAGGGCGCTGCAGGGAACGGGGAGCCCTCCAGGGCCACACCCTGCGGGAGGAGAAAGCCTTGCCCGGAGGCACACCTCCCCTGCAGAGGGAGAAGCGCGGGCTCTGAGCAGGTGAGGCGACAGGCGGAGGCCAGGCTTTCTTGGGACCCGACGGCCCAGTGTGGCCCTGGCACCCCCCCAGCTTTTCAGAGAAAACGAACATAGGCAGGAACGCCCAGACGACCCCCGTGGGAAAGTGCACAGCTCCCCGCAGCCCGGGGGCAAGGGAAGGCCGCTGGGAGGGGCGGGCGGCTGTGAGGACAGGTCCGCAGCCCTCGGTCCGATCCCGGGGCAGCAGGTCCGGAGAAAGGAGCCGTGCCTGTCCCATGTGCTCGTACCCTCCCGCCCAGGGTCAGCTGTGACTGTTCTGGAAAACGTCACCGACCGAGGATCCGTGATGTGCTTTCCACGGCGCAGGCCCGGCTCGAGGTAAGCGGTCTGCGTCACATCGGCGGAAGCACTCCCACGTGCAGCGGGGACGCCGGTCTGCAGGAGGGAGGACACTGCTGCGGGCGCCCGGCCCGGTCAGAGACGGTGCGTGTGAAGCCGTAACAGGAGGATCTATCCCACGATGCCGCTGGACAGAGGCCGCGGCCGGGCCAGGGGAGGTCGGGAAGGCGCTCAGAGCAAGCAGCAGCCCGGCGGGCGGGGCCGGCTCAGCAGTTCAAGCCCCGCCGCCTGCTCCCGAGAGCGCCCAGTTCCCTGTGAGGACGGAGGCCCGGGGCCGCCTCGGCTCCGCTCTCTGGTGGACGGTAAGGCAGGCAGAGGCCTAAGAGCAGCGGGCAGGGCGCAGACAGGGACGACGCAGCCACCGGAGCAGGTGATGGACGGTCCACCGAGCAACCAGCGCCACGTCACCCAGGTGCACACGCACACGAGTGCGCAGCCGCCAGCCCTGCTCCGTCCACGCCGCCCTGGTCCGTCCACGCCGCCCTGGTCTGTCCACGCCGGCCCTGCTCCGTCCATGCCGCCCTCTGTCCACGCCGCCCTCCGTCCATCCACGCCGGCCTGGTCCGTCCACACCGCCCTGCTCCGTCCACACCGCCCTCTGTCCATGCTGCCCTGCTCCGTCCACGCCGGCCCAGCCGTGCCGCCCAGTCCCTCCGGGCAGCGGCCAGCTCCTCCCGGCACAGTGTGGTTTGTCACCAGAGGCCCGGATCCCCGGAATCTGGAGCCTCGCTCATCCTCCGCACTGGCTGGTGGTGCAGGCCCGGGGGTGACCAGCCAGGAGCCCGCACGGAGCGCCCAGGAGGTGATGCCGTCTCTGAGTGCCTGTGGGGCAAACAACAGTCATCCTGACAGCGAAAGGCCCTGGGCATCCAACAGGGACCAGCCAGGGGCTGGGATGGAGCAAGGCTCCTCTGCAAGCCGTGTGCGTGAGCCTCACCCCACACCCGCACCCGCACCCGCACCTCATGCATTCTCACTCACTCCACCACACTCACACACTCCACTACACTCACACACACTCACACTCATTCACACTCACACACACTCTACATACACACACACACACTCCACCACACACCCTCACACACACACTCACACACTCACACACACACACACTCACACACACACACACTCACACACACACACACACTCACACACACACACTCTCACACTCCACCACACTCACACACACACACACACACACACACACACACCCTCACACACACACACACTCAACCACACACTCTCACACTCCACCACACTCACACACACACACACACACACACACACACTCCACACACACACACACTCTACATACACACACACACACTCACACTCCACCACACACACACTCATTCACACTCACACTCCACACACTCTCACACTCCACCACACTCACACACTCCACACACACACACACACACTCTCACACTCCACCACACTCACACTCATTCACACACACACACTCCACCACACACACACACACACACACTCACACTCCACCACACACACACTCATTCACACTCACACACCACCCCATAGCCCACACTGACCTATCTCGGGCTCAGCGGCGGTAGCTGAGGCTGGTGGCCTTGGCTGGATGAGTCACAGACCAAAAGTTCCGTCTGTTCTGAAGTTTCTGGAAGGCATTGAAGTTTCTTTTCCTTTCTCTCTTGAACTTTTTAATTTTCTTTTCCTGTTTGGAGAATCACAGGTGTCACACCTGCCAGAGGGCCGCCTGGTCCCAGCGGCACCCCCCTCTCCACGCGCGACATAACCAAGCCCACTCCTGCGGACGTCGGAGCCGCTCCCCGCGCTGAAGGCACGGAGAACCGGACCAATGCCTGCCGTGGCCACATGCACGGGGCCAAGCGGCTCCTGAACCGGCACCGGGCGCCAGTCCGCCTGCCCGAGCCGGGCCCTCCTGCCCGGCCGCCTACCTTCCCGCGGTCAAACTCTTCATCCCAGTCGTCGATCACCGAGGAGGCGCGCGCCAGCCTGCTGTCGTGTATGGCGTCCCGGCTGACAGCCGACACCTCGCCACCCCACGTCAGAACTGCAAGACACGCGTGTTACCCGATTCCCACCGCCCTCCCTGTCCTCCCTCAGCCTCCTTTGTAAGAAGCTGACTTTGCCAGGTGACGTGCATCTGCAGATTGGAGGGTAACTTCCCTGTCCTCTCACCGCGGGCCACGGCCTCAGGCAGCGCTCCTGTCCTCGCCTGTGGGTGACCCCTCTGCCCAGGAACTGCCCCACCCCCACCCAGCGTAGTTGTTTTTAACCTTCGGCCTCACCTGAGAAACAAAGATCTCGTGTTCTTTCTCCAGGACTGATTTACAGAAATAAGCTTTCGAATAAGTCACCCTTGGGTGCTGGGCCAGTGCTGCCGCCCCCTCCCTCCCTCCTGGCCTGTCCCCCGAGATGCATGCTCTGTGCTCTCCTGCTCTCCTGCCCCTGGACCCAGGCAGAAGCTGTTCTGGATCCTTCCACAGATACCCCGCCCCGTGAGGACCAGTTCGTGGCCTGTGTGCGATGGGGTCGGATGGACCGTTTAGACATGCTTCCCATCTTTTGTTTGTTTGTTTTCCCAAAGGGGTGCACCGTCCCGAAAGTGCTGCAATACCGGGTCGATGCGTGGAGTGCACGGAGCAAGCTCCTATTCCACCTCCCTGCTGCAAAAATACATTCAACAGAATGTCCTCGGACAGAGGACGTATCAGATATTAAACTGATAGGAACAGACACTGCGCTTGATCTTAGCCAAAAGGCCGAGTGGCAGCCACTCTTCCCATCTTCACAGCCAAGTGCCGCCTGCGCTCTGGGCACCAGGACCCGCCCCCAGAACCACGCCCCGGCCCAGCAGCACCTTTCCTCCCGTAGGCCTTATCCGCCGCGCACTCCAGCAGCTCCCAGACCACGCTGGCACCGCGCTCCCTCGTGCAGGAGAGCCGAGGAGCCGGCTCCGGCCCTGCGAGCAGACACAGTGCGTTTGCAGCCACCGCCGCAGAGCGGCCACCCGGACTCAGAGGGCTCCACCCAGGACCTGCCCGCCCGCCCGCCCGGCGCACCTGCGAGGTCCCCAGCACCCTGGCCGCTGACGGCAGGGCCCTTCCAGCCTTCGGGGTGCTCCTTCCCTTCTCCTTCCCGCAGGGCCTCGGGCTTCCTCTTTTCCTTCTTTTTCCTTGGAGATGCTGCCGTGGCCTCTGGCTCAGCGTCCGAGGGGGAGCAGCTCCTGAGGTCAGCATCAGCAGTCACTCCCTCTCCCTTCCACTGGCACGCCTGACCCAGTCACCCGGACAAGCCCCACCCTGAGCCTGGCCCAGGACCAGTCACAACGCTGCCCACGCCACAGCCCAGTAGGGGGCATTGGAGCTCCCCCCGGAGAGTCCTACAGGCGGGTTATGCAAGTGCCGGGCCAGCCGGCTGGGTCAGGTGACCGCCTGTGCACAGCGCCGGCCAGGCATGCTGCTGCCACCATTCGCCTGGGTCGGCAGGCTGGACCTGCAGGCCACACCCACCGGGAGGTGGGGGTGTTGGTGGGAAGGCAGAGTGTCTGGCTCCTAGCTCTCACCTGTGCCAAGGCGGGTCCTGGCGGAGGCGGGCTTCTCCTTCTCCGCCAAGGCCATCCACTCCCTTCCTCCTCTTCTTGCTCACGTGGGGGCTGTCCGTCCTGCATCCCACCAGCCAGCCCTTCACCAGGCCCCGGCCGTTCACTGGCTGCTGCCCGCCCTCTGCCTCCGGGCTGGAAGCTGGCCGCTCCACGCTGCCCTCCTGCCTGTGCCCGGGGCTGCAGTGCTGCCCCTGCCCCTGCTGCAGGGGGGCGCTGTCCGTGTCCTCGGGGCGCCTCTTCTTCCTCCTCCTCTTCCCAGGAGGGGCCTCGGCCTCCCCCGGCTCTGAGCCTGGCCTCAGGGCCTCACCCAGGCGCTTCCGCTTCCTCTTCTTACAAAGGCTGAGGGGCTCGCTGGCCTCTGGCTGGTGTGGGGGGGGGCGAAAGCCCCCGTTGACCTGAGGCAGGGGAGCGGAGGCGGAGTTCGGGAGGCTGCTGGGCGGGGTGGCGGCGTGGGGGGGCTTTGGGAGGCCAGATGATCCGGGAGTAGGTGACACAGCCCTGTGAGGACAGGCGGGCAGTGAGGACAACTGTTCTGAGACCCAGGCCCACCCTCAGCAGCCCCTCCCCCAGCTAGGGATCATCCCCAGGAACCTCAGCTTAAAAATCTAGGTGTAAGTTAAAGAGACAGACGAGTGATGAAATTCAGGCCTCCTTAAGACCAAGATTAACAGAAGTCATTGTCTCTCTCGTTTCTCATCACCAAGCAGCACAACGTGTCTGCAAAGGCCAATGTTCCCATTTGTGATTCCCGTGTAAAAGCCGCACTGGGAAGCCCCCCACCCTCCGGCGTCTCGGGGTGTCCGGGCACCAGGAGGGCAGTAAGAGGGGCCCGGACAGGCCTGCGCACCTTCACCTCAGACTGTCCTGGGATCTGGGGTTCAGGGAAATCGGGGAGTCAGATTTCACCAGCAGAACGAGCGAGGACAGGGACAGGGCTAGAGCAGGTCGGGTTTGGCTCTGATCTGTGTCCCGCTCGCTATGGGCCCGGAAAGGTTAACTTGAGACCCCACCATGACTGGCCAGAACGCCGAGGCCCAGAGAAGCGTCACTGCCGAATCTACACAGAATGAGCTCCGAGGCCCAGGCCGCACGACACTCTCCTCTGCGTGTCCCAGGACTGACGCCAAAGAAAACCGCCAGCAAATACCTCACACCTGCAGGCCTGCCCTGTGCGGACAGGCTGGCCGGCCGCACGCTGGCCTCCCGGGAGTGGCTGGCCCGGCCCGGCGGCTCTTACCTGGCGGCGCCCACAGGCCGGGCGCAGGCGGCGGGGTGAGTGGCTTTCCGGGGGTGGGTGAGGTCGGAGAGAGGCGGGAGGGGCGGCGCTCGGTCAGTGCCGGGGGCCCTCCGCAGGGGGCTGGCCTGCAGTTATTGACATAAATAAAAACTTGGTGGTCTAAAAAAATTGTGGCGAGTGAGAGGAAAAGTAAATGTAAACAAACAAATAAACACAAAAAACAAATGAAAGAATTCAGGAAGCAGGACGGGGGACAGCGAGGGATGGGGGTGGTAGAAGAAGAATCAGAAGTGTTTTTGGTTAGAAACGAAAAGGAAAAGGAAGGAAATTTAAACAAAAACCCCAGCAGGCCCCTTCTTCACGGAGCTCTGCGTGGCACCCAGAGGTGCCAGCGCCCGGGTCCCATGGGCCGTGTCCTGTGGCCACCCCGTGCTCGGAGCACCGTGAGCCCAGCACCCTGTCCTCCCTCTGGATCCTGGCTCCTCCCCTTAGAGAGGGAGAGCCGCGTCGCCCCAAGTCCCGTCAGCACATGGCGTGCCAGTGGGAAACCAGGGTTCCCTGAACCCCGTCTCCGGCACAGCCCCTCTGATCTGCAGTGCCCACGAGGCCCCGGGTCACGCTCCCCAACCAAAGCCACCCGACACCCCCAACCACGACACCCGCCCACCCACCTTCCTGGCTGAGAGGGCCAGCTTCTTGGCAGGCGGAGGAGACATGGTGTTCGCGGGCTCGGTGGCCACGCTGCTCAGGGCGGGGGGCCGCGGCTTCACCACCGGGGAGGCTTCACCGTTCAGCAGCGCCCTGGGCGAGCCGGCTGTGGGGGTCCTTCCCTGAGAGTCACCGAGGCGGGCGGCCCCGCTCCTGGGGGTGGGGGGGCCCTGGGCGGGGTCGCTGCTCCCGGAGTGCTCGGGGCTGGAACTGCTGGAGACTGCCCTGTCCGGGGCACTGCCCGCAGGCCCGTGCCCATTGGCAGTCGCTGCAGGCACAAGCTTGGGTGAGGTAGAGAGGCCAGCGCCCCTACCGCTGGCACGGTGGGGCCCCGGAGAAGTCTTGAGGGGCGGGGCGAGGGGCTGCGGGGGGGCCGGCTTCTTGACTTTCTTTCCGGGCGCATCCAGGAGGGTCGGCAGGGGGGTGGGTGCTTTGGAGAGTCGGGGGGCAGGGGACCCCAAGGGCAGCTTGGGAGGAGTGTGTCCATTCTGAGTCTTCAGGCCCGACAGGAAGCCGTTCCTGGGCACGGGCACACCCGTCTCCTCAGGGGCCTGCAGCTTCCTCATGGCCACGGGGTCCGGCCTCTGAAAGACAGCGGGCGAGCGGGCGGGCGGTCAGACCTGGCAGCGATCCGGCAGGTGAGGGGCTCATTGCGTGGCAGCAGGCCCCCATGGCCATGGTCTCGGCCACGGCCACGGCCACGCAGTGAGCCTGTTACTCCTTCAAAATATCTTACCCACGGGCGTGGGTCTGTATAGTCACCTTCGTTGTGAGACAGTGCATTTCCACCAAGATGTGCGAAATACAAATTCCCTTTTTGTTTCTAACACAGTCCCGTCCCGCTGCACAGCCACGGAACACGTGGCACTCTCTCCTTTGGGGCTCTGCTTCTGTGGGATTGGGCCACAGAGAGAGACCAGCTGGCTTCCCGACTGTTCCGTCTCAGGCTCTCAGTGAGTCTGACGTTGGCTAGCAGCCCCCTCCTGCCATGGCGGCCACGCGGCTGTACAGCCTCCGGGGGTCCCGGAGTCACCGCCACAGGAAGTCCTCATCCCCCGCAGGCCCACACCACCAGGACCTAAGCCACGGTGCCCATGCGATGCCCCTCCCACCCGGGCCTGACCCTGAGCTGTTACCAGCACAGCCACCCAACCACTTCTGGGCTGGCGGAGACTGTCGGATCACAAAGGGCTGATCTGTCTCCGTGTCAGCCCAGGTGATGGTTGGAAATGGAACGGCGGGCTGTGTGCATGTTCGTGATGGCGCCGCAGTCTGACCCGCGGCGGCCACGGTTCCCTCACCAGCAAGGGCTTGTTTCAAACGTTCTCACTGACCCTGCGTCTGCCTCCGTCGCTTCAGCGCCGGCATCCTTTCTGCACGGCCCAGGGGGTTCTGCATCCCCTGAGCGACTCCTCTGCTGGGCTCCTGCCTTGTCAGGAGCACTGAGCCCAGCCTCCGGCAGCAAACGTCACATACACACAAAGGTAACCTCAAAGCTCTTCCCAGTTAACGTTTTCCCAGATCAACGTGCATGCACTCCCCCCCTCCTTAACCAGCTGAGTACATTTTGGATATGATCCCCTCCCTGCCCCCCCCCAGTACATCTGTGTGCGCCCCCGAGAATAAAGGCTTCCTCATGACACACCGCAAATACGACTAAGCCAGGAGCCCAGCAGGGCGCTCTCCACGGCCCAGCGTTAAGCGTGTTCCCGATGCTTCAGGCCGAGAGGTTGCTCGGGAGCTGTCGCTGTGCTTCAGCTGGCAGCTGGTCCAGAGCAGGGACAGCGTGACCTCGTCCTGAATTGCTGGGTCATCGCTGACCCTCCTCCCGCTCACCCTGTCAGCTGACGACCGACTTAGGAGGGAACGCGGACCAAAGTAGGACAGACCGTCTGCCTCTCTGGCCACTGGGCACAGCGCAGCCTGCAGAGAGCGGGGCTGTGGCCGCCGTGCAGCCCCCCGGCCCCGTGAGGAGGTACCTTTCCGGGCAGCAGGGACGAGAGGGCCCCGTTGCTGACGCTCTTCCTGCCGTGGTCCAGAGCCCCGCCGGGGCGGCTGGAGAGGGCGGAGCCGGCCCTGGCGATGGTGCCCTCGGGACTCTTCTTGGAGCCTGGAATCCTGTCCGGGGAGAAACGGGTCAGGTTCTCCTACTAGCGCTGCGACCACCACAGAGCCTCAGTGAGGGCCAGAGCAAATGCAGGCCCAGGTGACCGTTCCTAAATAAAGGAGAAGGCGGAAACCCGGAGACACTGGCCCTCCCGGCTGTCTCTGAGAGCCCACGGGAAGCGGGCAGGTGCCTGGGACGTGTGCTCCGTCCAGCAAAGCTACAAGGTCACAAGCTCCATCTGTCAGAAAGCCAAACCGATGCCTCAAGCTCCTCACCCACGTTCAGCAGAGCACATACGAGGTCGCACAAATGCCTCCAGGCTCCCCGTTCTCCCACCAGGTCGGTGACAACCAGCCCCCACAAAGGCACCTTCCCAAGGTGCTCTGCTGCAGCCCCACCCTGACCACTGACCCCCTGACCACGGAGCCGCCCCCTCTGACAGGCACTTCACGGCCCACCAAGGTCACTGCCCAGAGGGGTGCTGGCTAGCCAGTGTCTCTGACAGGCACTAAGAGAAGCGGTCACTTCCGCGTCACATTCACGTCACCTCGGGGGGGAGGGCAGAGAGACTGCTTTTACAACGGCAGAGGATGTGTCTGACTGGCCCTCCCGGTGGACACAGCCACCCCCAGGATGGGCGGAAGGGGGGCGGGGCGGGCGTTACCGCAGGTAGAACAGCACGTAGGCCTGCTGGTTCAGAACCACCTGGATGTTGCTGGAATGGACCAGGGAATCATTCATCTGGTACCACTGCCCGCTGCTTGCCTGGAGCAGCCCGGAGAGGGAAGACAAAACAAGACATTCCGTGAGCCTTTCACACAGGGAGCGGAGTCCGCTGTTCACCGCCCCCAAGTTAACAGGAAGCGATTCCCCGTTAAAATATCTGTCTGTCTCCTGTGGGGAGCTCCGATCAGCGGGGCGTCACCACCACACTGGGCCGCCTGAGTCATGCCCCGGGTTCTAGGCCAGAGCCCTGGGAACAGGCCCTCCGGAGCCTCGCCCCACGCACGCACTGCTGACCCTGCGGAGTCTCAGAGCCCTGCCCCCACGCGCGGAGGCCACCGGGGCTGAGCACAGCTGTGGAGCACGGCCCCTCCCCAGACCGCGCTGCAGAGGCTGCCTGTGCCTGGCAGACCCCCCGCACCCCCCGCAGCGGGCCACCCACCTTCACGTAGCAGTAGTAGTGCCCGGCGTGGCAGCTGTAGCCCGAGTGCACCAGCACGGCGTACAGCCCGTACACCACGGGCTCGCCGCTGCTCTGCGACATGTAGGGGCGGATGTTCAGGAACTCGGGGTAGCCCACGTCCTGAGGGAGAGCCCAGAAGGCAGTCAGGCTCTGTGTCTGGCTCCCTCAGATCAGCAGGCTGGGGTGCTGCCCTGCACACCCCCTTCCTTTTACCGAGGAGCTCAAAATTCAAAAGCCAGCATGCGCTCCAGGCTCCCGAGCCCAGTGCAAACTGGCCTGATGCGGGCCCAGACCAAACCACCACTGTTTCTCAAACTGTGTCCCACCGGAAGCTAGATCTACAGGTTCCGCAGGCAAATCCACAGGCTCTCTCTCCACCAACTACTCCCCCTACTGCCTAGAGCGGGTGCGGTGGAAGTTCCCAGCTGCTAATGCGGCCAACGACTCCCCAGACAATTCAGTCTAGGAAACCTTCCTAACAAATCCCTTCTGGAGAGTAAAATGCTACACAGCTCACTAAAGGCTCTGAGAAGGCCCGCAATGAAAAAGAACTGGTGTTTAGGAAGCAGCGGAGCACAGAGCACTGCCAGGGCACGGCACTGCCGCTCTGCAGAGTCCCAGTCGGGGACAGGTGATCGGAGCCCGAGGAGGCTGAGGCTCGGCAAGGGCCTTGCCCAACTGTAGCTGGAGGCTCTGACAGCCAGAACGAACCTCTAACGTCTATGCGGGCGACATCGTCTGATAGAACACACCTGCGAAAGCACGCTACTCCACATCCACAAGCCACCTCTGTGAGGCCCCTGGTCTGGGCACGAACAGGACCAGACCTCACAGCCCAAGTCCATGTCCATCACACGAACTTCAGGACGTGACCTTGCCCTTGCACATCAGGGGCAGCCCAAGCCCGGGGGGGGATGGGAAAGTCTGGGAAGACGGTGGTTCTTGGACAGGACTCAGTGTGTATGACCGTTGGGAGGTTTTGTAAAGAGCGTAGGTTCCTGGGCCCGTCTTCTGGGGACCTGCACTCCCTGGCTCTGGGGCAGAGCCCGGCGTCTGTATTTTTCGGAGCAGCCACTGAGGAGCCCGAGCCCGCAGGGGGCACTCACCTTGGTGATCTTGCCCCCACTGAAGTTGGCAAAGCGCTTGAGGGAAAGCGTCAGGACGTTGGATGCCCTGTGGATGGTGAAGCGCTTGCTGGCGGGCACCTTCTTCTTGCACCTGAGGGGGATGGGGGTCAGCTGATGCTCCCAGGACTGTCCTCCCACTAGGCAGTCAGTCACACTGCGCGGTAACAGCTCTTCCTGAACGGACCTGTGGCTCCTGCCTCCCCACCACCAGCCGACACCCCTGCGGGGAAGGGAAGCCACGGCAGGAAGCAGACCAGGCAACACGAAGCACCTCCCAGCTCGAGGCTGAGACCAGAAGGGACTGTGGGCTGACGCAGCTAAGAACAAACCAGAGCCAACCGGCTGGTGACAGCGGGGCAGGCAGGGATTCCCTGCACAAAGCCAGACACGAAACGAGGGCGAGGGGCAGCGCAGGGACAGGCAGCTCCCGAGCGCGGGGCGGGTGTAGGGGCGCTACAGGCAGTGTTTGGGCACAGAACGGTCAGCCCGAGCGCAGAATTCAGGACACTGTTCTTTACCGCTTCTAAGCGACCTGACTGGACAGTTAACAACACCCCTACACTAAGCCTGCACCTGCCCAAGGACGGCCAGGGCTGCATCTGCGGGGCTGGAAAGATGCCAAGAAAAGGGAAGAAATGGCAGACGAGGAACGGGTCACCTCAGGGCGGGGTGGCAGCGGGGCCCTGCAGGCAGGGAGCGCCGCGCGAACGGGGGTCAGAGACGGGGGGGCAGTGTGTCCGTGGCCTGCAGTTTCCGGCTGGAGGACAGGGCAGGCCCCCTGCGGAGGGGCCGCAGCCGGGGCCGGCCAGGTGACCGGGAACGCACCTGGCGCACATGTAGGCGTTCTCCCCGCTCAGGCCGTCCGGCTTCACGAAGAGCTGGAGCGCGCGCACGATGTCGGCCGCCTGCTGCGGGCGGAAACGGAGCGTGAGCGCGGAAGGCGCCCTCCACAGCCAGCCAGGCCGCCAGGCCGAGCAGCAAGCCCACACTTCGCTGGCACAGAAACTGGCCACCGGCTGCCCCTGGGACTGAAAGCCGCAGCAAAGGGACAGGGGAGCCAGGCTGCCCTTCCTGCCCCGATGGGCAGGCTCAGAGCGGAGCTGACCGGGGACTGGCCCGGGTTCCACACACCTGCACGCTATCTTTGCTTTTGGAATGAGAGAGGGAGAAGGGTGCATAAGAAAAAAGGCTGGAGAAATGTGTGAACATGCTGGTTCCTCCTGTGAGGAGGATGCTAAGCGCCTGCCTCATGGGTGTGGGGCTTCTCGCCCTCTGCCCTCGGGTCCTATTGCAAACAGACGGGGGCAGGAGGGTGGGGTTGTACCCGGATCTCCAGCGCCACGTCCAGGAAGGGGTCGTAGGTGTCCGAGACGCTCTTGCACACCGAGCACTTCACTGCAACAGAGCAGAGGGCGGTGGTGGGTACAGGCACCCCCACCAGGTATCCGAGCCCTAGAGCCACGAGGTCCCCAATGCTGCCCTGAGGGGCTAGGGCATCACGGGAAGAGCTGCGGCCCCCACTGCACACACGCCTACTTGTTAGCTCACACTTCCTCCCGGGATCGGGGTGCCCATCAGGCAGACTCAGGCCTCGGGGCCTGCCTAGGAAAGCCCGGCCTGGCGCTAGCTCAGCACCGCCCGCTTCACCCCAGTCCTGACCAGAAGGGGGGAGGAGCTCCCACTCACCGCGCGACCTGAGGCAGCCTCCGAAGATCTGGTGGACCAAAGTGGTGGCCTGCGTCTGGCGGTCCAACCTGTGGATCAGCCACAGCCACAGCCATAGGACACAGCGAGCAGCACTGGCACCCCCCCAGCGCCCCGCCCACTGCACACCCCAGGCCTCCCCCACCCCCAGTCTGGCGCACACAGCAGTCTCAGCAGGATCCCGCAGTGCCCGGATCCACATGGCCCACTCCCACCCCCACCCCGTAAGCCTGAGCTGCTCTTAGTGAGCGGCCTCGCTCCACTCCCCGCTCAGGTCCCACTCAGTCCTGCACGGTCACCGCACCCTCCACCGGCGGGGCAGGTACCAGCCTCCACCTGAGAGGGGCCACCGGGAGGTCCTTTCCGCACAACAGCAGGGGTCCAGGCAGGGGCTCGGATCGGGCAACTGCGTTAAGTCCCCCACCCGTTTACTAACTACAGGACGCGGAGCATAACGCCTGAGTGCTCATGTAAGGAAGATTCTCGAGGCAACACCTTATCCAGCCTCTGCCCCTGCACCTGCCAGTCCCTCAGAGCCACCAAGATGGCCAGGACTTGTGTCCAATCGGCCCTTAGTCTTAGGAAAAGATGAAAACTCCACAGGGAACACACAGCACGGCCCACTCCCTCCCAGGACAGCGTCCCCTCCACCAATTCCCCAGACACGACTCCCCGCCAGGGCTTCTCAGCACATGTAGCAGCCTGGAGGACTGACTCTCTCACACACACACACACACACACACACACACACGCACACACACACACAAGAACATGCTTGCATGGCCTCCGCCACCCGCAGAGTGTGCTGAAGGCCCCCGTCTCAGCCTGCTGTCCCATCTAAGTGACTGCTGACAGCAGGGCCACCCAGACCCGGAGCTCAGTGAGGAGATAACTCCAGGACACATGGGGACCAACAGTCACCAATCTTATCTGCGAAGCCAGGAAGCGGACGGGAGCAGCACCCCTCCTAGCGCCACCCCATCAGAAGGCTCACTGCGCTCCAACGGCAGCCAGGACAGCCAACCTCACTGGCCCCCTCAGTGCGACGGCAGCTGCCCGGGCCACCCAAAGGGGCTGGATGGAGCGAAGGGAACCACAGGACCCTCTCCATGCGGCCCGAAGCAGCCTCCAACGCCAGATTACCAGTAAGCAGGAAACGGAAGCAATGCCAGCTTCCGGGACGCTGCCACCCTGCCTCGGTGCAGGTCTCGAAGGGTTCAGAAACACAGTGAGGGGGCGGCAGAGAGCCAGAGGTGGCCCAAGTCACAGACACCCACAAGTTTGAGCTCTCAGCCTCGGGGCACCAGGGCACAGTGGGGAGGCAGCCCCCGAAGACGGTGATCCTCAGCCAGAAGGCAAAGGCAGGGCTCCCCGGGAAAGTGGGAAAGCGGGCGGTGAAGGGCAAGAGAAGCGAAAGAGGAACTCGGCCTGAAAATCTCCCAGCCTGGGCCTCCACCCGATGCACTTCCCCGGACCGGCAGGAGGGGGCGCCGGCTGAAAGCCCTGCGTGTGCCTGATTCCGGGACAGATGAAAACAGCTTCCATCCCAGCCACTGCGGTTCAAGCAGAAAACAGGAAACCAGAAGCAGCCCTGCCCTCCATGAAAGCAAGCCCAGACACAAGCACCGAGCGGGGAGGCGCAACCAGCTCCTAGCTGAGTGAGAGCAGCGGGGGGCAAAGACCCCGGTGCGAGGCACTTGCCAACTCGGATAAAGAGCTGGCAGAACTCAGGAAGGACGCGGGAAAAGACTCGTTTCCCACGCCGAGGCTGAGCTGCAAGTGCCCCTGCAGGAGAGCTCAGATGAAGCCCGTTCCCAGACATGAACCCTCCCCACCTCAGCCCAAACCCAAACTCCGCCCAGCCTCCCCAACTCCCCCGCCTCCAGGGTCCACTCATCCGCCTGGCACAGGGTCAGGGTCAGCCACGGTCCTGAGCTCCCCGCCTGGGCAGGGCTGGGCCCGGCACACAGACGTGCTGCACCCACCCGCACAGCAGCCCCCGCGGTGGCCTTCTGGCCCGCACAGGGCCCTTTCCCAGGAAGCACGTGCAGCCCGACAGAGGCCAGCAGTCTGGACCGGACGCCACGGCGCAGGGGGACGGGGTGCGAGCGAGGCCTGCCGCCCCTGGGAGGAAGAGGAGGGCAGCACGTACTTGGCGTAGCCGTTCAGGCAGGCCTTCTGCATGGCGTCGATGGTGTACCGCAGGAACTCATGTGCGTCCTCCTGGTTCCCGAAGCGGAAATGCCGGGCGATCTCTGTGGAGAGGGAGCGTCGTCAGATGGGAGGGACCCCGCTTCTCCAACGCCCCAGGTGCACGCCCGTCCCCCGCGGCCGGTCCGCGGCAGACCTTTGCGAGGACAGTGAGGAAGTGAGCCCACGCACGTGACAGCCCCTCACGGCCCAACTTTCCAGGTGAGACCAGGGGCTCAAACCCTCCTCATTACACAGGAGCAGAGGCTTGGGGTGCCCACACCGACCGTAAACCCACCTTGACCCCATGTTCCCAAGCCGACACAGCACCTGAATCCGTTAGCTTCAACCACCTGGCTTCCCACACCAGCTACCAGTCCGGCCCCCACCTCATCGCCCGCTCACCTGCCCCGATATGACCCCGACCCCGACCCCGGCCACAGCAGTCCGAGCCCACAGCCCTTCAGTGTGCACCGCCAGCCCTCCACACCCAGGCACCGTCCCCCTCACTCCCAGCAGCCACTGCGGAGCCAGCAGCGGGAGGCCGGACCCACTTACTTCTCAGGTCCCGGATGAAGGACACGGGCTTGATGGCGTTGCCGCTGTTGGCGAAGGCCTGCACGAGGTGGTTCTGCATGACGCACAGCATGCAGAAGCTGCCCTGCGGACCTGCGGGCAAGGCCTAAGGTGAGTCTCACACGCACGCACGCAGAGGCCGTGACCACGCTCCCCTCTTGCCTCAGGGCCATGCCCCTGCAGGTGCTCCTGTTTCTTCAGCACATTTACTTAGAGGCCCGGCCCGGTGCTCAAGGCGGAGTCTGGGCCATGTTTCTCTGCCCCAGCTGCACACAGGACAACAGCCAGAACACTTAGTCTCCTGCCCCCCGCCTGCCCGCTGCTCCCAGGAGATGTCCGCTCCGTGTCAAGGCTCAGGAAACTTCTGTGAAGCCCCATGTGGTTAACAAGTCCTGTCTGTGGGCACCCAGCCTGGTCCATGGTACCAAACCACCAGGTGGCAGACACGTGCCCGAGTGCTGGCAGCAGCCACACCGCCAGGCCGAGTCCATCACGGACACTACTGTTCCTCCCCAGGCTCGCGGCCAGACGGGCATGACTTACATTTAAAGCTAAGAGATACTGAAAAGCAGAGAAGCTCAGGCTGTCCCCCACCCAGCTCAGGTGAGCTTTCCAGAGTGAAGCACTGGGAACCCTGCACCCCTCCCAATGTTCCCCCCATCACAGACCACAGCCCGAGCCAGGCCATCGCCATCCCGAACGCCTCATGTGAATGTACCGCACCCAGGCCCGGCCCGGCAGCTGTGGGCAAGCTTCCTTTGTATGGACCGCGCGCTCACACACACACACACACACACACACACACCGGCGGCACTCACAGCTGCGCGTGTGCTCCCGGGAGAGCAGGTAGTTGGCCAGGGGCGGCGTGTAGGTCAGGCACTGAACGGTGGAGTTCAGGAAGCACGTGTTGCCCAGGTTGTGGAGCCCGGCGCCCACGCGGTAGACGCGCTCCCACTTCAGAGACAGCCGCTCCGCGGGGAACAGCACCTTCTGCGGGGCGGGGACGCCGTCGCCGCTGCTCTCGTACAGGCGCTGGCTGCCTGGCGGGCAGGGAGAGGAGGATGGCACTTCTGGGCACAGAGAGGACTTGCGCCGTGCGCTTAGCAGGCACGTGCCGGAGCGCGGCGGCGAAGGGTAACTGGCATTCCATTACTGGAAGCTCCGGACGGCCCAGGAGGAAGCCTGCCGCCCCAGGATCTGCCCCAGGGCACAGGCCTGAAATTCAAGGCCTCCCACAGGCGGGAGAACAACACGCGGGAAAGAGGAGCTGGGCCCGGCCCCTGCAGCCACCATTCCTCCTGCTCTGTCCACGCCCAGGCCTGTGGAACGCTTTCCCGGAAATCTAAGGACAGATCTTTCTGCCCAGCCCGGTCACTGCTTCTGCCACCAAGGTCCACGGACCCCACAGGAACTGACAGCTCTGACCACTCTGCTCTGGTTCCTGCTAATCAGGCCGCGCTTCGCCCACCCACCGGTGACGGCCCAGCGAGGCCCTGTGCCGCCGCAGGGGCCTGTACCCTGTCTCCGGGCAGGCGGCCCCTCCCCGTGGGGGCGGCCGGCGCCCTCCGGCCGGGGGCTCAGCAGCACGTATTTGCTCCGCAGGGCCTGCAGCTGGAAGGAGACGCTCCGGCTGGCCGGCTCAAACTCGATCTTCTGCAGCAGCACCTTCTTGGCGGAGGCGGCCAGCAGCCTCCCCAGCTCGCCATCGCCGGCCGAGTCTTTGCGGCCGGGCTTCAGGGCTTCCTTCAGCTTGTCGACGATGGGCATGGCGTCACTGCGGGCGAGAACGCGGGCTCTGGTGACCAGGTGCCCAGAACAGATGGAAGAGCCCCTTGGTCACTGTGGACCCAGCCACCAAGAGGCTCCTCTGAGCGGCTGCCAACCCTACGGAGGAAGCGCAAACCACGGAGATCCACGGAACCACGCACAGGGTCCACGCTGCTCCTCTCAGAGACGAGAGCGCGCTGGACAGACAGGGCGGCCCCAGGAGGCCGGGCACCTTGGTGTGCCTCTCCCTCAGGGAGTGTGGGCTCTGGGCATGGTCCAGCCAAAGGCACGCGGGGTCCTAACGTGTGCTCGGAACGAGGGAAACACCAGTTCTCACTGGACACCCTGGTTACACCCACGTCCACGTAGCACAGGGTCAGTGAGGCAAGTCAAGGAGCCCAGACCAGTGATGTCAACCTCATGAGTCCACAGAGCCAAACGTCAACAGCACAACGATGGACATTTCTTTGGAGAGCCACATTTTTTAAACTTAAACTTCTTCTAACGCCACTTCTCCAAAATAGACTCGCCCAGGCCGTGGTATTTCGTGGAGGAGCCACACTCAAGGGGCCAAAGAGCCGCATGTGGCTCGTAAGCAGCAGTTTGCCGACCACTGGCCCAGACCACATGGAAGCGGCTGCTTCTAACTGTTCTGTGAGTGTGACATACAGCAGATTTCGAGGACTTAGTGTGGGAATGTAAAACACGCCTACCGTATAAGACGACTTTTGAAACGGAAAAAAAGTCAACCAAAAATCGGGGGCAAAAGACCAAAATTGCACAAAAATTACTTGCAGATCTTGATGGCAAAGTAAGCCTTTTCTTTGAAGTGGGGGGTAGTCTTATACAGCGAATATAGGCCTACACCTATGTTTTTTTGTTTGTTTTATTAATTTTTCTACAGAGAGGAAGGGAGAGAGATAGAGAGCTAGAAACGTGGATGAGAGAGAAACATCGACCAGCTGCCTCCTGCACACCCCCCACTGGGGATGTGCCCGCAACCAACGTACATGCCCTTGACCGGAATCAAACCTGGGACCCTTCAGTCCGCAGACCGACGCTCTACCACTGAGCCAAACCAGTTTCGGCTACACCTATGTTTTAACTGTAAAATTAGGGGATCGTCTTATACGCCTGCTACATGGGGAAATTATACTTGACATATATTTGGTTAAATAAAATAGACCATGAAGCTTCGTTTCAACTTCTTCTTCTTCTTCTTCTTCTTCTTTTTTTTTTTTTAATATGTTTTTAACGATGTCAGAGAGGAAAGGAGAAGGAGAGAGAGATAAACATCAGTGATGAGAGAGAATCATTGATGGGCTGCCTCTTGCATGGCCCACTCTGGGGATTGAGCCTGCAGCCCGGCATCCAACCGTGACTCCTGGTTCCTAGGTCAATGCTCAACCCGAGCCCCGCGGCCGGGCCGCTTCCTGCTTTTTAACGTGGCTCGTGTAACACCTGAAATTGTATCCGCGACGGCCTTTCTGAACAGACCACCTGCATAACGGTGGGGGCAGGGACGGTGACGGGACTAGAATGGTCAACGCAAGGTGCCCAAATGCAAGCAGAGTGGCAGCCCGGCTCTGGATAGGGCAGGCCTCGCTGTCCTCAGCTATGAACTCCGGGGACAGTCACTGGGACTTCCCAGTCCCCTGGCCTTTCTAGAACAGGGGTGACAAAGCACTGGATGAGGGCTGAGCGCCGGCCAGAGGGAGGTGCTGGTGGGCGGCCACAGAAATGACAGACAGGAAGCCCACACCTCTGCCAGCTTCTCCTCCCCACCCCACAGCCACAGCTCAGCTCTGTCCCAGCCCCAGTTGGAAAAACAGGTTCCCATCAGAACAATGGCAACCCCCTTGGGTCCCTGCCCGCCACAGCAGCCCTGACTAAGTCAGGAGCACCCCGGACCCCGGCTCTGGTGAGAGATGTTCAAGTTTATGGCCACGAAGCATCTAACTTCACACATGGATCAAGTCTGTTTGTCCGTCAAAATGTCTGTCAAGTACAGAATTGTAAAATGTATCTTTAAAAAAGAAAGTACATGTTCTTTGAGAAAATAAAAGCATCCTAGGGGGGAATCCTCTCAGAGCCCTCACCCCAGAACGGCCCACGCAGGAATGGATGATGAGGCGGCAGGGACACGGCTTACCCGGGACATGGGAGCCGGGGCGCGCCAGGCTGCAGCATGGATCAGGCTCCGGGCGGACGGGGCGGGGCGGGCCGGGCCCTCCACTGCAAGTGTTCCTCGAGTTCGGCCGTTAAACCACCGGAGCTGCGAGGCTGACGTCCAGAACCGGCATCAGAACCTGCGAGATGAACAGCACCGTGAGGCGGAGTCCCGCCCGTCTCCCCAGCCCCTCGGCCTAAGTGCGGAGCAGGAGGGCGGACGCCTCCGGGACAGTCGCTGAGGATGGAGACACAGCAGCGGCGTGGACCTAGAGGGGGGCTGAGTCACCGCTACAAATCCGTCCCGGGGCAGGAGAGGAAAACATGCTATGTGTACCGGCACGTCATGACAAGACTCATGAACAAAACCTCCCACCCACCAGGCCGCCGTCTAAACCGCATTCTGGGAGGAAGACAGAACGACCAGGGAACGCTCTCTGGCTTTCCCGCTGCACCAGCGAAATTAAAAAAAATAAAAGAGATTGTTGAAGGAGTGGTAAGAATTGCCAAATTTTCACTTTGCGTGGTGTGGATTTCCCCCCTTTAATTACCACCCTAGTCGCTATGGTTACGTAACACTGAGGTGCTCTCAAGCACGTTAGTGTGAAAATGCTCAGGCTCACCATGTGGGGAGGACAGCACAGGGCCCCCTCACCCCCTTACTCAGTGTCAGCAGTTATTACTAAGCATGTCACCCATCACTCTCCCATCAGGACCCTCCCTGCCTCACAGCACCTGACAGCCAGTGCGACACATTCTGTCTCCTCTCCGAGAATAAGCAGAGCAGAACTGCCTAGTGTCCATGCTGCAGTCAACACTCCCCACAGGAGGGCCCGGGGACAGGAGAGCCCGGGGGGGACAGGAGGGCCTGGGGGGGGGGCAGGAGAGCCCGGGGACAGGAGGGCCCGGGGACAGGAGGGTCCGAGGGGACAGGAGAGCCCGGGGGGACAGGAGGGCCCAGGGACAGGAGGGTGGGGGGGGGGACAGGAGGGCCCGGGGACAGGAGGGTGGGGGGGGGGGGGACAGGAGGGCCCGGGGACAGGAGGGTGGGGGGGGACAGGAGAGCCCGGGGGGACAGGAGGGCCCAGGGACAGGAGGGTGGTGGTGGGGGACAGGAGAGCCCGGGGGGACAGGAGGGCCCAGGGACAGGAGGGTGGTGGTGGGGGACAGGAGAGCCCGGGGGGACAGGAGGGCCCAGGGACAGGAGGGTCCGAGGGGACAGGAGGGTGGGGGGGGAGGACAGGAGGGCCCGGGGGGACAGGGGAGCCCTGGTCCCGGGCCAGCTCGGGTCCAAGGGCGAATGTGTGGGACCCGAGCAGCTCGAGGATGAAGAGCTTGGGAGACTGAACCCAACTTCACTGGCCATCAGGACCCGAAACCACCTGCCAGAGCCCACTCCTCCACATACGTAATCCCCAGTTCCGACGGCAAGGCCGGCCTGTGTCTCGGGTCCTGGTCCCCCTCTCCCCCCAGGAAGCGGTACCCTGAAAAGGGCTTCCCTGGGAGGGAGAGCGGGACCCACATCACAGCATCCCCTGGCCCACAGCTGGACGGACACACCGGAACCAGGAAGGAACGCCCTCCAGGCCACGGTTCTCCTCCTCCCGGGTTTTCTACCTCGGAGAGCGCTCGCCCGCTCCTCAAACAGGCTCTCCGCTCCCGAAGGCACCCCAAGGCCCAGCGGGAAGTCACCCCCGGGGCGCGGGAGGAGCCGGAGGGCAGCGCTGGGCCGCCGGGGGCTCCCTGCCCCGCCAGCACCGCCCGGCCCGGCCCGCGAGCTGAGCGCCTCTCCTTGAGGCACCCGCACCCGCACCCGCACAGGAAGTCCGGCCGCGGGGGCCACGCTAGCTCCTCAGACCCAGGGGAGACCCCACGGGACCGCCCGAGGCAGCGGCACTTGAAACCCCACGTCCATGACGGCAGGACCCACCTTCTCCGGGCCGGGGGGGGGGGGTCCCCAACGCGCTACTGAGGGAGCAACCACCGCCCGGCTCCGCCGCCCGGCCCCGCGGCCTGACAGCGCCCAGGGCCGGGCCAGCCCCGGGGAAGGAGGCTCCGGTGGCGACGGCGCGGCCCGGCGCGGACAGGCCGCTCCTCCCGCCTGGCTCCCGGGGCTGCTCGCCGCTCCGCCTCCGGTCGGATCCGCGGGGGCGGCACCTGAAGCCAGGGCCTCCCCGCGGGCCCCGGGCCCTCCCGGTGGACCCGCACCCATCACGGACACGCGCCCACGTCTCCCCGCAGGGCCCCCGGGCGCGCCCGGTCGGGCCGCGGCTTCCCGCGCAGCAGGCCCGGCGGAGGCCTTCCCGCCCCGGCAGGACCGCAGCCTTGCCCCGGCCCACGCTCCGCCCCGACTCGGCCCCAACTTACAGGCCCGCGGCCCGCCCGCTGCTGCAGCCCCGGCGCAGGCGTCTGCTCGGCGTGGGCCCGACACTCACCATCCGGGCCCTCGGCGCTCCACACACGTGTCACCGCGACACTTAAAGGCGCCGCGGCCCCAATGCCGGAGCGGAAGAAGACGGAAATGCCCGGGCGGCTTTAAGAGGAGGGGCTGGCCTCGGCCGCGCTCCCTGGGCCCGCCCACAGGAAACGTCACCTCCCCAGCCGCGGCCCCGCCAGCCTACGCAATGACGCAAGCACGCCGAGCGAAACGCCCGCCCCCTTGGCCCGCGCTCGCCGAGTTCCCGCAGAGCACGTGAGGGGCCCACTTCCGGGTCCCGGGAGGCACGCTCACTGGCGCTGCGTGCGGGTCGCGCCTCCTTCCCCCGCGGGTCCGCCACGGTGCGGCGCTGGGTCTCACCCTCTGGGCCCCCGGTGACCCCGCAGAGGCCGGC